TTAATTACATTAGAAYAACAATACCATATTTCAACCATGTTATAGACTTCACGTATAGCTCTGGCTTGGGTTGGTTCCCGTGTGTGCATGACGGGTATGTGTCGTATGTAGCTCTGGGACCCAGAGTTCGCATTATTGCTATCAAGCGGACAAAAGCTGTCTAAATGCTCTTGCTCAGAATTTTRTGTGTGCATCTGAGTTTATAGCTAAAGGGCTATGTGATTGAGAGCCATAAAAATMAGCCTTCAATTCAAACGTCGATCTCTCGCAGGGTTTGTATTCCGCTGGCAGCAATATCGCAGGCCTGGATTTAAACACTCTTGAAAGAAGAATGTGTACAAAAAGCCTTCTGAGATCATGAAATCTTGTACAACACTTGAAATAATAAACTGAGCCTGTACAAATGTGCACTTGAACTTTATTATCACTGAGAATTATGAATTCACATATCGACTTTGAGTTGTGGATAAGTTCCATATTAAGACTTAACAATAACAATATTGAAAGAATATTGCATGTGCAATATGTAAWRRAAAGSSACSCCCAAAACATGCATGCATTGATTTGTATTAGCCTTGTCCCACACCYTTCGGCCAAGCTATTGATCGCTTGGAAAAAGGATCCAAAAGAACTTGCATTCTCCTGCGTACGTTTGAGTTCACACCACAAGTGTGYYGTGTGAGCAGGTATCTATACACTGTCGTAGTGTTTGTCATTATGAAATCTATGCACTTACATGCGCATCGCCTAAGCATTAATCAGTTGCGTAGATCTTAAACCTATTGAAATTAAACTCGACCGTAAAAAAGGGTCTGGRACTGAGCTTTTACTTTTGAGTATGTACACACATAAAGGTACAAAAAGATTTTTGTATACAGGGGGTTTGTCTTAACCTCACAAGCCAAATACTATTTACTGTARAACATAGTGTCAATAATCCAAGGTTTCAGTCTTTTCACATTAGCATACACCCCAAACTTATGCGGCTGACCGCACTTCTTCCCCCATGAAATTACTCCAGCGAGATACCAGCGCCCRCGCTCTTGACAAGACAGCGGTCCTCCACTGTCAGATTGACATGCGTCGACACTTCCATCTTCGTAACCAGCACAGATGGATGTTTCGTGTACTTCTCCWTGGTAAGATTCTTTCTTGTTGCATTCAGCATGGGAAATCAGAGGAACAGAGGCTTGCCGTAATCTGTTTGCCCTAGTCCCCTTCCAGCCATTTCTACCCCAGCCAGTAATGAAACACATTTTTCCTGGTACCAAGCTGGTAACTTTATCACTCGGTAGGCAGATTGGGTAGATGTTTTTGTCAAATTNATCAAATATAAAGTAAAACTAAAAATCCTTCCTTGGATTGAAAATAGTAAAAAAAGAAAATGTATTAATATTATTATTGTTGACCAAGAATTGTCCTTACTTTGACAGACATTTGGTCCCGGATTTGGTCTAACGCAAATACCATTCACTGATCCTTTGTTTGCAATCCTTCGTTATTTCACCTGTACAGTTTTGTTGACAATCGGCACTTGAGTCTATTGTTCTTTTATAGTAGTTAGAGCTTTGAATATCAGTAGCTTTTAAGATAGAAGGCCTGTAGTTTATGACTGGCTTTGGTCGGCTTTGGATAGATTAAAATGGCTTGCGTATCATAACTTAAGTCACAATAAGCTTGATTTATTCGCGGTATTTTTCAAAAAGCCCATTCCGAAAACGGTCGACATCCTTTAGTGTGGCTATACCGCGTGTGGATTTGTGAGTGATTTGAGCGTATTTTTTGAGAAGAAGAAATACCATAAGCCCATCGACGAAGAAGCTGATGCAATTAGCACTTGAAGCATGGGACGAGACAAGACAGGCTAGGAACGCCTGGCTAGTCTGGCCGCGATTTGGCGATGAATGCAAAAAAAAATAAAACAAGACGCTTGTCAGCGTGTACTCGGGGTTCTTTTTAGTGTGGTCTCTTGGTTTAATGATACATATAGAATATTGGCAACGTCTTTCATTTTTATAATAACTACAATTATATTTTTTGGTGGCACCACATTTTGTTGTGAGATTGTCATCAATGTAGCTAAAAATTTCTTTCCCAGGAAAMAAAATCATACAAGAACAGTTATTTAGAAGAACAGACCCCGTAATCCTTCGTTATTTCACCTGTACAGTTTTCTTGACAATCGGCACTTGAGTCTATTGTTCTTTTACAGTAGTTAGAGCTTTGAATATCAGTAGCTTTTAAGATAGAAGGCCTGTAGTTCATGATTTGCTTTGGATAGATTAAATGGCTTGTGTRTCATAACATAAGTCACAATAAGATTGATAAATTCGCCGGTATTTTTCAAAAAGCCCATTCCGAAAACGGTCGACATCTTTTAGTGTGGCTATACCGCGAATTGTGTGTGGATTTGTAATAGATTTGAGCGTATTTTTTTGAAGAAGAAGCAATACCATAACTCCATCGACGAAGAAGCTGATGCAATTAATGCAATTTAGCACTTAAAGCATGGGACGAGACAAGACAGTCTAGGAACGCCTGGCTAGTCTGGCCGCGATTTGGCGATGAATGCGAAAAAAAATAAAAATAAAAAAAATAACGCCGAAACCTAAACTCGCGGTTCCACAGGAACCCCGAGTAATAATTCACACATTTTCATGCTCTCCCATGGAATAAATACATAGGGCAGAATGAGTGGACATCGTTAGGCGATAATCCAATTACTGACGACGACGCCACGGTTGGTGAATAGAGTGCAAACCAGAAAGAAACAAAAAACCGATTGACATTTAATTTGGAAATTGAATAACCTACTGAAATTTTCTCTGAAATTGTTTTTATGCAAAATGGTGTTTAATTAAGCATAACAGGTTCTTAAATTTTAGTTTTATGTCCGATTACTGTTCTTTGCAATTTTCTGAGCAACAGTTTTGCTTAATTTGAAATGTTTTTAGCACGACGACTGTCTAGTGATTCTGTTTTTGTGATACCATTAGAACTCAGGTCTAGCTACTTTTGGCAATGCATTGCAATATTGTAACCCYATTGAACTTTTATCGTACTTTTTGAGGCAAGCAATCTGATATGATTGCATGCTATGTCAGGTTATTAGTTACCTTTGAAGCAGTGACCTGCACTGATAATCCAGTGAGGATTGATGATTGAGCCCCCACACACTTGTCGATTGTCCAGCAGTAGTGCTACTTGCCATGGCCAYCCCCCTGATCCACTTGTAACACCACCGACTATGCGCTTGTCAATCAAATGTGATCGGGTAAATTTTTGCCCACATCTCAACAAACTTGATACTGAAACGGTATACCATATGATGAAAATTTATAATTAAAAAAAWAAATAAATAAATGGAATGTTTTTTCACGTGTTTGAATAATTGACAGGACATAATTTGGCAGGAAATTAGTGCCTTTCATTTCTCAATAGTATAAGGTATAATTCCGGCATGATTGGCATTGCCTAAGGATATATACGTGCTGTAGGTTACGTTTAAGAACTAATTCCAAGGCGAAAGGTTATGGTTTAGTACAATTCAGAATTAATTTGTAAACTACTGAAGTCAGTCATAATTATACTACCTGCAGCGCTGATCAAACCAAATGTGACCAGGAGTGATGAAAGATGCAGCTTGAGATGCATCATGGAACTTTTGGGTCACATGGAAGATCCTAAAAACATAGTTAAAACACTTAGGGACTGCACGATATTTATCAGGAGGGGGGGGGGGGGGGGGGGGGGATCGAGAGGTGCAAAATTAATCAACGGCCTCAGATTCTGTGCTTTTTTTGGACAAATACTTATTGAAGTAGAAAACTTCTCAAGAATTTATTCCGTAATTTAAGTAATTAAAGTAAAGTAAAAGTAATTAACTTTTGAACATTCAAAAAAACTTTTTTTGATTTTTGGCTCATTTCTCAACCCCCCTCCTCCTGATAAATATTGTGCAGTCTCTCAGTGGAATATATGTATTCATTTAAAGCATTGTTCACACACTGTCCTCGCCAGGACACCGTCCACAGGCTTGAGCCTGCAAAGAAAGTGGGGATTGCCATATATAACTAAATATTCGCGTTCAATTATTCAAAATTCTCGGTCTTATAGCTTTGAATATAGCTTTGAAGCTTATTTGAAAACATATWTTTGAAGGAAAAAGTCTCATGGCGATAATAACAATAATAAATAATATATAAAGGTTTTCATAGCGCTTATATAGCTTTCTCTAAGCGCTTTCTAAAGTAAAAAAATTAAGTTAAAAGATAAAATAAAGATAGATTAAAAATATAGTTGGCCGGGATCATAGGTTTGTTTAGATA